AGATTCTTAGCTTAAAACCTCAATTTTGACCTAGTATAATACATTAAAGGAAAATAACAGATGATAATAGATTAGGCACAGTTCTTATTTCAGCAAGAGGTAACTAAGATAAAGCTAAAAATTTTATTTTCTTTTAAAAATATGAAAGCCTAAGCAGAGAGAGAGAGAGATCTTTCTCCGAAAATATCTAATTTAGGAGGCAAAACTATTATCTAGAAGATCTCAAGAAAAAAGATTAATCACCAAAGCTCAATATTTTAGCACAGAAACAGCAGTTATTGTCAAGCTTAGAGAATGTAGTTCCAGTAAGTAAAGCAAATTAAACAACCCACACACTATCACTGATGAAAATAAGCCTTAAACCCTGATCATTGAAAAATTAACTGTTAGGTGTCTTTATGTCCTCAGATGGCAGAGTAAACACATGTGAAACCAGCCCCCTACCCCACTATCTGTTACCTCAAACAAAAAACTAAGAAAAAGGACATAAAAGGATGGGAAATGATGTAATTACATTTATTTTTCTCGCATACATAAAGTTCCACTGATTAGAAAGGCTGAGGCCTCCAGAGAACAAAAAAGCATATGGAAAACCGTAGAGATAAATGAAGATAGAGAGAATGCTGAAGCTTTGTAGTGGAGCAGCAAATCAGGCGCATGTATGAATATAGACCACAAAGTGCAATCTGCAGGCTTGAGATAGGATAAGATACTATACCGTACATACAGAGTGAAAGTCTATAGCTGAGAGCAGGATCCAGAACAATTCCACTAGTTTGTGAAAGGAGGTAGACAGAATGATCCTCAAGAAGATAGTTCTCATTATTTAATAATAAAACACATTAAATGGCTTATGTTGGTATTTACTTCTTTTGGTTTGTCTTTTAATAGTTAAGCATTGTCAACGGATTGAATACATCAATTCAGGTTGAGGTGAATGAAGAGAAATAGAAATCTGGAAAGCATGCAAATGATTAGAGTAATTATAGAAGGCAACCTAATAATCTTACTGCTTTCACAGTTCTAAAGTGTCTACCCCAAGAGATTTATTTATTACACAGGAAAACATTAACTGCCCAGTGAAGAAGCCTGGCAGATACAACCTTAATCAGTTGTGCAAGATTAATATCACAAGTAATGAGATATATGGACATCACTCATGTACCCCTTATATAATGCTTCTTTGGTGATATTCTTGCCCAAACTTTATATAAACAATCTGATCATAAGCATGCATCAGACAAACTCAAACTGAGAGACATTCAACAAAATAAATGACTGGTATTCTTTCAAAGCATAAATATCATCAAAGAGGAACTGCCACAGATTGAAGGAGGCTAAGGAGCATAAAAACTAAGTGCAAGGTGGTATCTTGGATTGGATCCTAGAACAGTAAAAGGACCTTAGTGAACAAATGGGTGGTGTTCTAATAATGTCTATAGTTTAGTTAATAGTATTACATTAATGTTACTATCCTGGTTTGATATCGTTCTATGGTTTTGCAAAATGTTAATTTTAGAGGAAGCTGTGTGAAACTCTGTACTAGTGTGTTTCAAAATATAAAGTTAAGATAAATATGAAAAGAAATTTAAAAGAAAATAGCAAAGTAAGAATGTTTTATCTGTATCTATGCCTATATCATTTATTTATATTTCTATCTGTATCTATATCTATCTTGAAATATCCAAGAACAAGCAGTAAACACTCAAGCAGAAAAATATTCAAAGAGCATGAATAGGCAATTTGCAAAATAATAAACTTAAAACAGTTAATAAGACACAGAAATTATTTCATATGATACATTTTCTAGAAGACTAAGCCAAAAAAAAACAGGAAAAACTTGAATCTTGGTTATTAGAAAACAAATTACAAAGATAGCAAAAAACAAATATAAGAAATATTTTAGACATTTAAAAGATTTTAAAGTGACAACATGCATTTGAACACAAAGTCAGTAAAACATGTCTCAGAATGGAATTATTTTATTCCTAGAAGCAGCCTTAGGGGCTGCCTAGTCCAGCTGCTTCATCAAACCAGTGAGGAATTGTGAGCTTATAATTGCTTAGTGGGAGTCTTTTCAGCCCATCCTGATGGGACTGTTTGTCCCCCCAGTATGCACAGAAGAGACTTATTTTGTAGCATTAGTCTGCTTTTCCCCACAGATGTCAAAGCAGTTTTGTTTACCCCAATTTCTAATTTAATTAACTTTAGTTATTCTTCCGAGTTGAAAGCAGGTGCAGAAATATGAGAGGATTCACCCAAGGTCACAACAGAGGAATGAAAATTTCTAGGGTATGAACCTGGATGTGTCTGACCCTACAGACTATGTTTTCTTTAAGCAGTTTTAGATTTCATTTTTTTAAATTTACTTACATAAAAAATACACTCATTCTGGTGTACATTTCCATGAGTTTTGACAAATGCCTAGTCATGTAACCACCACTGCAATTAGGATGCAGGACAATTCTATTATCCCAAATCATTCCCTTATGCTGGCCTTTTGTAGTCAACCTTTTCCCCATCTTGAATCCCAGGGAACTACTAATCTGTTCTTTGCCCCTATAGTTTTACCTTTAACAGAATGTTGTATAAATGGAGTCCTATAATATGTATGCTTTTGAATCTGGCTTCTTTTACTTAATATTCTGTATTTGAAAAATATTGATGATGTTGCATATATCAAGAGTTTGTTCTTTTATTTATAGATTAGTTTGGGGAGATTGACATCTTAACAATACTTTTCAAATCCAGGAATATGGTATATCTCTCCATTCATTTGCTTCGGGTTTTTTGTGTGTTTGTGTTTAATGAGATAAAAGAGGGAGAAAAAATAAAACAATAAACTCACCAATGGAATGGTCTTTCTTCACATTTTGATTCCCTCCCCAATCTACATACTATTCTTACTTTGCATAGTCCTTAGGTAGGTTTTTTTTCTTTTTTTAAAAATTATTTCCAAGATATTTTGTTGTAATTAGTGAGAAAAATAGCCTGTAGTGGGCTACTGCATCTTATTCAACATTCAAAGTCAATTGGTTTTAGTTATGATTATCTAAGTCCTTCTTGCATGGTGATGCCATGGATTGAGAAGCATCCAAAAGTTATTTATTTGTTTTTATTTTTGTTTGTTTTTGTTTTTTCAGTTTGAATAAACCAGTTGTGAGACAACTTCCAAAAGGTGGGGTTGTTAAATGTAAAGGATTTACTTTTTTATGTGAATGTTCAACTGATTTATCTTGGGTGGATGGAAGCTTGGGAGAGAGGATGGAACACAGAACCACTCTTTCTTCTTAAGTCCAATAACATTTATTTAGATTCAGGAGTTTCTTCTACTCTTGACAGTGTCATTTGATGTGTCATTTAAAAATAAATGAAATGAAAATTGATGTGACAGCAAACTTACTAGGGTCTGTCTGGGTGCATTTCTTAGCAGGCTTTGCCTTGTTGACAAATAACAGGAGTTAACATATGGTTCTGGTTATCACAGTGGTACCATTTATTTAGCCCCAAAGAGAATACAGTTTCTGTGTCCAGACACATCTCAGCTGACTGATAAATTCCAGCACCTCCAAGCAGTATTATCTCCCCTAAATCTTAACAGGGTTTATGATCAAAGAAGCATAAATAACTTTATCTTCTAATAGAGATAATAATCAAATTTTCAATTTTTTAAATTTTGTATTATTATGTTATGTTAATTACCATACATTACATCATTAGTTTTTGATGTAGTGTTCCATGATTCATTGTTTGTGTATACTTTTCCTGTTAAAACTGTTCAATGTTTTTAGCAGGTAATGTATTACAAGTTATATTTTAGAATTATATAACCAAGTTAGGATGTATAAATCTCAATAAGGGTTGGAAAAACTTAGGGACTTCACAGAGATTGAGTTGTGTATCTTATACAAAAGTATGCAGATACGTACAGAACTCCAGTAGGTGTACCTTATTGTATTCATTCATTCATTCATTCACTATTTGTGCCTAGGACAGTGCTAGCTCTCAGGTTGCAGAGATGATTAATACATGATTCTGGTTTTTTCAAAAGCCCTCAAGTAGAGCATTGTGAACTGATTTTAAAATAGAATGGTAATTATCTTTTGAAATGCATATTTGGTCTTTCATTAAGTCATTCAAATGAGGGTGAAGGAGCAATTACATTGTACCCATAGGCCTCTAATGGATAAAACATGTCACAATATATATGTAAATGCCTTATTCATAATATATAACTTTTTGTAATTTACAAATTGCATTTGAATTGTACATTTGTCATAACAATCTTCTGCTTAGATCAGGTATGTATTAAAAGTCCCATTTATAGTTAATGGAAATTAAGCAAAAGAAGTTGTATAAATTTACATGCTAGAAACAATTGAGAAATGCCAGATCTGGGACCCCAAGGCCAATGCTCTCTTTATAACAACTCATTGTTTCTCAAAAGCTAAGAGCCTCCTGATGATTCAGAATCCTGGGATTAAAATTCTCATGAAATACTGACTGAGCTAATATTGTTTAGCCAAGAAGCTACATAAGTCTCAGTGTAAATGTCACGTCTCCTGGGAAATCCACCTTGATTAGACTGGTTAGGATTCTCCTTGACAAACTCTGACAATTACTGCTATAACAAATTAACCACTTTTTTACAATTGCATTTGTATCCCACCTAAAACAATTGTAAGTACCCCACTTTGGGAAAGACTAGTTAATTCACTAATTATTCCTTACCATCTTTCTTCCTGGGTAATATATAATAAATTTCACTAGGATATGCTCTCCTCATTTCCATATTTACATGCCTGCCATGGTGCCTGACAGACACATAGTGGGTGTTCAGTAAGAAAGGGTTTAATAAATTAATATTTGCCTATATGTGAATAGTATACGTTTCTAGTGTGTGGTTGTATATATTTTCTTTTCTTATGAATACTAGAGTGTTTGCCTATCTCCCAAGTCTATTTGGGTACAAAATAACCATTTTCTTTTCATATTTACAGGATTATACCTTGACAATGTACTTCCAGCAAGCCTGGAGAGATAAGAGACTGTCCTATAATGTAATACCTTTAAACTTGACTCTGGACAACAGAGTGGCAGATCAGCTCTGGGTGCCTGATACCTACTTCTTGAATGATAAGAAGTCATTTGTACACGGAGTGACTGTCAAGAACCGCATGATCCGCCTGCATCCAGATGGGACAGTTCTTTATGGCCTCAGGTTTGTAGTGTCCATTTCAAAATTGAACTTTTCCTGAATGAAATAGTTATTGATTTTTATTGGAGGGAAATATTGTGCTGTTTTCCTTATTTCTCCTTAAATTCTGTCATAAGCAGTTAAATCTCCTATCCAGTAGACATCTGAAAGCTTAGGGGAACATGTTTACAAAGGGACTTAGCCCTAGCTAAGAATAAGTTTTTCTGAATTATCTTCTAATATCAGCTGCTGATCCTAAAGCTACTTTCTTCAAGGAGTAAGGATAAACAATCAACATAGTTGAGATATAGGGCTTCCTTAAAATGGAAAAAAAAAATTGAATGCTGAATACTTGTTTGAGCGTGGCAGATGCTCCGTTTCATAAATTGCTCCTAAGCTGCATGAATTGGGTCTGGTCCTTTGATGATAGGAAGGCTTTTGTGCCTTCTTACCCTCCAAGGGGCAATCAGACTTGCAAATAAATAAAGTTGTTATCCCCTGTTTGTTAATAATAAATTTACACTATTCAATGTACTGTTATGTCGGAAAGTAATTGTGATGCTCTGCTGTTAAGGTGAGGATGAATTGTAAAATAAGACAGTTTCTTCTTTTAAAGATTATTTTGTATTAGAAGCAATAGATGGTTTCCTGAAAGAAAATGGAGAAAAAAGGTATCTATCTTACTCTGAGAAATTACATTATTATAATATAAAGTATTCCTCTGTGTTATTGGGAAGAAACTCTAAATTCTGAAACATTCAAATGTCTCTGATCAGTTCTGTTTTATACACATGTGTGGTTATCTTATCATAATAATGACAGTAGTAACAATAGTATTATTCATTCATTAGGGGATAAGGGTCAGATATTGACTTAAATGTTTTCCATGCATTGTTACAGTTAATCCTTACACAACTTCCTAAGTTAGAAATTGTTATGATCTTTATTTTCAAATGAGGAAACTGAGGCTGACATTTAAAATCACAAAGCAAGTAAGCTACAAAGATGAGAATTGAATTCAGATCCAAGTTCAGAGCCACAGGTCTTAACCACTACCCTGGGATGCTTCTCACTTCCTCATTTTTCTTATCTGTCATGTCTTGTTTTCATTGTCTGATATATTCAGTGTGTGTGACTGGCACATTGTCTTAGGTGCTTATGAACCAACTTCTTTGCTGCTCATATTTTTAGAGAGAGTGGCATTTGGCTATCAAGGGAAAGTGGGTGAGAGTGAGGCACGGAGAAGTCATGTGTGTACTCTGTCAAGCCACTGGAGGTAAGGAGATAGATTGGATATGGGCAGGCTCACGTGCATGTCTTAGAAAATAGACAAACAGCAGAGAGAAAAATTGTCAGTGTCGGCAAAGATTCCACCAAAACAGTGGACTTTGAGAGCACTAATGGAAAGAATTATGTTAGTGGATACATTGTGCTAAAGTTACCACTTGGAATGAACTGTAAAACATTTAGAATCTCAAAGACCTTGATGAGAGGGTGACCATGCAGGCTGTGTGGGAGATGGGGGTTCAAAAGAGGCTGTAGTTGACACTTTTTAAGAGTTAAGCACAGAGAGTGGTCAGAATCCTGAAGAAGGCAGAAGGAGGCATAGAAATAACACCCACTTGGCAATGAATGAGGGGGAGGACTGGCAAGTGGTAAGTTTCTGCTAAACACCAGAACCAGTGCTGGAGGCATTTGCTCAGCAAATCACTTAATCTGCACAGCAGTCATGCAGAAATTACCCTGAGCTCTTCCCATTTCTGTGGAACACACACCTTGAAAGCAGAGAACAAGTTGTATTCTCCTTGGTATACCCAGCACTGACCAAGCACCTACACCATAAACACGTTCAGTAAAGTTTGTCAATTCTGCATTCATGTATGCAAAGTTGAATGGATGGGAAAATCAATAATCAGGATGTCTTTGGAATTGAGAAGAAAAGAGAGGACCAATATAGATGATAAATATGGCTTCGTTATATCATTATATAACCAGACAAAAACATGGATGACTGTTCATTCTTATCATTAAGACTGACTATATGACACTGCTGTAACTCCAATTCACAACAATGAGAAATCATCGCTCTCCTATCCCCTCTTCCAACAAAGGGTTTGAACACATCTCACATGTATGAAATTAACACTACTAGACAGAGAAGGCGTATGAATTGTAATCATTTTATCAGGTGTATTGTTAATTCTGACTTTGAAATTGATAACAAGGTTTTTCAGGAAATTTACAAGTATCCTATTCCAGTTTTTACTGATTGATCATAGAATGATTTGTTCCATGGCTAGAAATTTAATGCAGACCACATATTCTCTTCTCAACTCCAGGTTCATTTGCAATGTATAAGTAAAAGGAATTCAATTAAAATTACCATTGCTAGGGTTGGTTTCATAAAGTCTCTTTTCCTACTTACCCTTAAACTCCTCTCCCATTGAGATCCACACACATTGGCAGGGACAAGGGGGCCAGAGAAGAGAACATTCAGAGGATCTGGGAAAGCTTCTTTTGTAGGGCTTACTTTAGTGAAATGCTCAGGTATTAAAACATAAGAAGGAGAAAGTAGTATGCAAAATATTAATGCTTGTTTAATTTTTCTTTTTGTTTTAGAAAAGGAGAAGGGGGGATGGGCAGAGAGAGAGGGAGAAAGAGACTCTTAAGCAGGCTCTACGCCCGGTGCAGAGCCCAGCGCAGGGCTCAATCTCACAAGAGATCATGGCCTGAGCTGAAATCAAGAATCAGTCCCTTAACCTACTGAGCCACCTAGGTGCCCCAATGCTTGTTTAATTTTGTCATTGGTATAGAGGTGTTCATTTTGCTGTTCTTTCAATTTGTCTGTAGGTTTGAAAATTTTAATGATAAAATTTGGAAAAGGAAAAATGTTATGTTACAGAGACCTAGGAATATCTGATTCTAATATCCAGGAAATATCATTCAAGATTTAAGAGTCTGTAGCCGAGAAATGATATTTCTAATCTCTTGGAGGTAGATAATCTTCTATACATGACATCTACTTCCAGGAGCTGTGTCTGAAAATGAGGTCATCTCATTTCAAAGGATGTGTGGCTCAGAGGGTGGGATCCATGACCATAGACAACGAGGCTAAGTCATAACCCAGGAAGGAGTGGTCAAAGCCCTTCAGTTAAAACCTTGATAACCTCCTTGTGAAATCAGTTGTCCTCCTGCATGAGTGGAGTATCCTCCTCCCTTTGTGTCTGAGTGTACACAGCAGGAGCTCTGAGTACATTCATGCTGATATATTGTGTTTGGATAGCAAAAGTTTTGAGGATAGCAATATCGCAGCCACTCAGCGAACTTGCATTAAGGTATAGTGGCTTTGAGGAGCTCAGGAAATGGAGACTGAGATTTAGAAATATGGATTATTTTAGGTGCTACTGTTACAGGCTAGGTTTTAATGGTTTTCATTCTGATTGGATTTTTGTTTCCCCATCACAAAAGCACAGATTAGCAGCTTACTCTCTATTATCCCAGTGCTCTTCTGGTTGATAATTGTATTAGAGGTTCAGAGAACAAAGTTTTAATGTTGCTCAGATACACAAATGGACACAAGTAGGCAATACAACCAACTTCCTTAACAAAGCATAATGATAATGAAACTTAGGTTTCAGTTTGGACTTTTGTACAAACTTCTTTTTGAACCTTGAGTATCTTATCCAGGTTCTAATTTCCTTGTATATAAAACAGAGGGGTAAATTAGATGATACCAATGTTTTTACAACCCAGTCATCCTCTGAATCAATAATTAATGAATCTAAAAGAATATATAATCTAACATCAGACTAGAAAATGAAATTATATATTTGGAGTAGTAGATAATAAGTGTTCAGTGTTACTATTTAATGAATGAATGAATGTGGGGGCATTTGAAGGCTGGCAAAGGGAAAGCTTCACATATCAAGTCAGCCATTTTATATTGTAGAATTTCACCTCAGTTATCTTTTCACAATTCAGTGAAGTAAGGCACTAGGTCTGTTGTGTAGAACCAGAAGAGTGAGCAAGTGGATTGAAGAGAATGGGAAACGTCTAGCCCAGGCATATCTAGAATGAAAAAGGAAGCCACTAAAGAAAATGTGTACTGAAGTCAGTTACCCCTAGCCATTGCATTCGGTAGCACACAATCTGGAGCAAGGAAAATGGATGCCTGGCTTGAGACCCAAGTGGCATGACCACCTGTAAAAGCTGCCCTGGAGCCCCAACCCAGGGCCTCGCTTGTAGCATGCACACAGTAATTATTTAATCCAGTACTGCACAGTTTCTTAAAAAGACTTTTCTCATCATGTTTCATTGTGTGTCTAGTTTCTCAACTTATTTATAAGATCTATGGGATACAGGGACACCTGGGTGGCTCAGTCAGTTAAGCGTCTGCCTTCGGCTCAGGTCACAATACCAGGGTTCTGGGATCGAGTCCCGCATTGGGCTCCTTGCTAAGCATGGGAGCCTGCTTCTCCTCCTTCCTGCCGCTCCCCCCCTGCTTATACTCTCACTCGCTCTGTCTCTGGCAAATAAATAAATAAATAAATAAATAAATAAATAAATAAATAAAATCTTAAAAAAAAAGATCTATGGGATACAGGAATAACTAACCAAAGTTATGAATAATGCCTTTTTGAAACTTAAATTTATAGTTTGTGGCTAAAGAATAATGAAATCTTTGAATGTAGATTCTCACCTTCATTCTTGACTGGTTGATAGCTCAATTACACCAATTTGATCGTAAAATCAAATACCTCTTGTCTTTAACAATGCTATTTAGAGATTTCTGTCAGGAGATATAGCTGGAGGAGGAAGAATATTTTCTCAGGAGTAACCCAGCTGGATAAATGGTGACAAACGACTTTCCGGTTGACGAGGCAGAAGAATTCCTAGCAATTTACAAAGGAAATATTTCAAACAGATTAACTATATATTGTTCACAAATAAGATTGGCCCAATCAAATCATTTTCAGAATACTTCAAGGGAAAATGATATAGAAAATGTAGGATTTTTGTTAATG